GGGTTAGGATAGGATTGAAAAGCAAAGCCTGGGCTGGATGTCATCAAGTTGCGTGTCTCTGTTTTGAATGAGCGACCCTCACTATTGCTATTCAAAGGGTTCTCATGGTGAAACATGGTTGTGTGCGATGATAGACTGGCCCTGTACGGACCCGTTGTGGAAAGGTGTGCAGCGGCGTAAACTTGGGATTTGTTTTCGATCTGGATACCTACTCGTGCCCCTGTTTTGGCACAGGTCCGCGCATCCGTTGAATGTGGAATTCCATAAGACCCTTGAAACAACGAAAGGAGCAAAATGCAAAAAAGGAACCATTTTCTGGTCACAGCGTTTGTTTTCCGGGTGGGTTTGGCGGTCGCTACATGATGAGAGCTGCGTAATTGCGCGCGTGGTCGTAGGTTGTAGGGCCCCTGTGTTGTGAGTTGGTCTTGAACTGCTGAGTCTGAATGAACATCGTCTTCGTTCCCCGTTGCTTCTTTGTCTTTGAGTTCCTAGCGGCACAATGAGGATTGATAGGTCGTTTCATGGATCGTCTCGTTCCCGTAACTAACTCTACCTTCCCGGATTTGTCCGTCGGTTCCTGCGAAGGTTCGTGTTATTCGTGCGAGTTTCCAGTCATTCCTTGAGACAATAGGGTCGCTACGAGAACAACTTCTCCTACTTTTGGGGTACAGTTATGGTGGCGTTTGGAGGAAATATTTTGTTTATGTGTCTCCCGTAGGCTGGTCACGTAGTTCCTCTGCCAGACATTCCAAAACTGGTCTGTGATCCTGCAGGACGAAAGCAATGCTTTCTCTGCTTCGATTTTAGTTGCTAGACCGCGGACTTCCGTCGGCGGCAGGTAATCTGGATCGGTCCTTTGATCTGGAATCCGGTATGGAAGTGTGAGCATGATGTCTTTCTGGAGGAAATCGATTGGGCGGATAGTGTCTAGATTGTCCTGCTCCGAACCTTGATAGGTTAGTGGTCTGGAGTTCAAGCAGGCCTCGATTTCCGTCAAAACTGTGGTGAGGTGGTCTACTGTGAGAAGGGGTTTTCCTCTGAGGACTTGTAGAGGTGCGTGTTTTATAGACTTTATCAGGCGTTCGTAAAAACCCCCTTGCCAAGGTGCGTAGGGCGTAATATTCTTCCATTCAATTTCGTGCTGTGCCTTATTTGATCGATGTCCGAGTTAAATTGCGGTGAATTTACCGAGGGGGACAGAATTTCTGCGGCAAGGAGAAAGGTGGGGGCATTGTCACTTGTGATAGTGGATGGTACCCCTCTGCGAGCTATGAATCTTCGCAATGCATTCAAGAAATCTCCTATCGACATGCTTCGGACTAGCTCTAGGTGTATCAGTCGTGTTACTGCGCACGTGAATATACACCCATAAGTTTTGTATTCTCTATCGTTCTCCTTTACAACTGGGAGGTCGAAAAAATCAAGACCAACATGTTGGAATGCGTGGCTGCGTACTACGCGGCGACTTGGTAGGTCCTTTGTCACTGGGTAAGCGTAGGGTAAGCCGTTGAATCTGCGACATTTCACACAGTTCTTCACCAGGTAGCGGACTTGTTGTCTTAGTTTTGGGATCCAATAGTGTGAGCGTACTGTCGCAATTGTGTGTTCGATCCCCTGGTGGTATGTTCCATGGGCCTCCTGTATAATGAGAGCAGCCAGCGGCGTTTTGGGAAACACAAAAATGGGACTTTTAGCGTCTGCGTCCAGTATCGCGTTCCCAACACGTCCTTTTCGATCGCCAAATGTTGTTTTCGTCCTTGAACAGGGGTAGTTTATTTTCGATAGATTTTCTGTAATGGTCGGTAAGGTGTTGTAGCTGGTGGTTGCGTATAATGAACCTCCTAGACGCGGCCAAGGCGTTTCCTCCGATCGCTTGCATGGAGTTGGGGATATATCCCAATTCTGGGATGTTTTGAATGATTGAATTTCTTCGCACCTGTGGTAAGCGCTCCGCTAGTTTCTTAATAAAAACCATGGCAAGGGCCGTCACCTGTTTCGCTTTTGTCAATGAACCAAAGCGGGATAGGTCGATTACTGGCTCTATCATTTCTTGGTTACTTTTTGTTCCTATAGCGTTTATGAGCGTTGAGATCTGGTCGTGACCTTGCGTATCGTCCATGGTGAGTGTGTATGGAGGGGGTGACCACGTGTCTACAGGGTCGCGTAGGAAGTTGGGTCCCTCCCACCAAGGAGCGTGGGCCAATTGCGTTTTCGTGAGACCCCTAGTACCGGCGTCTGCTGGGTTTTGGTCCGTTGGTACAAATTTGAAGTACACTCCAACTCCTTCGTTATCGAAGGCTTCTACGATGCGTCGGATTTCTTTCAATCGATTATTAACGAGCATTCCCAAATTCGAAGTGCTTGAGCTCGCGGCTAGCCAACTCAACGCAACTTGCGAGTCAGAGAAGATGTAGATGTTGTTTATATGTTGGGGGATGCGTTCTTTGAGCGCCTGAAATACTGAGAGCGCGAGGCGTAGTGCTATTGTCAGGTGCATTCATTTCCATTTTTGGGACGGTAGGGTTACCTTTTATTGAGGGTAATTTGCATTTTGCCATGACCAATGTGGACTGGTCCCCATTGAAGATGTATGCGCATGCCGACATAGCGATAGAGCTCGCGTCAGAGAAAACTGCTAAATTGCTGCGTTCTGGATTGGTTAGAAAGCGTCTGCAAA